TTAAAAACGAAAAATTTTGAAAATTTTTGTCGTGGCGTCTTGGAGGAAGTATGGGGACCTCGGAAACACACACCAATCAGAAACCAAGCACTTGTATCTCTGTGGAGAGACTCTGGAAGGAGGAATTTTTTTTTGCTCCGGACTGTCACTTTTTTCTTCCGATCCGTGCTGACGCTCGAGTTTCCGTGGAATCGATTCAGGATGGAGCAAACACCGAATCGTGAGTAAGATTGAGTCTGAAACTCCAAGCTTAGCGGTTCATTCGACGAGAATATGCAAATTAGAAGTTTTTCTGAGTGCATCTTTTTTTGACGAAAAAAAAAACGATTTTCATGAAATTTCACCGCCAGAAAAGTACACGGTCCAGGGCGGACCCGGGCGGCTCATGGGGTGGAGAATCCTCTTCCACCCTCCCTCCTTCCATTTCCGAAAAAAAAACCAGCAAGTTTTGGCGAACGTGAATGCGTGCTGTTTTCAGATATTCGAATTTGGGTGCCTCGGAGGACATTTGCGGAGACAATTTTCAACTCCCGGAAGAACGAGTGCATTGATGGGTTGGAGAGACTCATTTTGAGTCATGCTCATGTTGAAATTGAGCAGCTCAGCAACCGATCTCAGATCAGAAATCAGATCAGCAGGCATGTGTCCCGAGTGAGGGAAAAAGTCGGGAGACATAACTCGAAAGCGGAACGGTTCTCCGGAAAAGAAGCTGAATGGCTCGAAGTCAAAAACTTCGATTTCATCGTGCACCACACTGAGCTACCCGCACAAGAAGACGTGCCCGAGTAGCCCGGACCATCAAGAGCGTCTCAAGGGACACCTCGAGCGGGACGCCCAGGAAAAAAAAATTCGGACTTGGCGGAGAGGACAAAACGGGACAAAGTCAAGGATCTTCTGCCTGCCGGACCTGCGAAGTTATTGTACGCGGCTCCCCGAGAAGATAAAACATCTTCGATCTCTACTCGATGTTGATGATATCGTCTGATTCACTCGTGAATTCGTCTCGTGGCGCTGTGAAAACAAAAGGGAGCTCCGTAGACCAGGAAGTTGCCGACTTGTTGTTGAGTGGAAGTTCTCGCGATATTCGATGTCACCCGGTAGAATCAGAGCAGCATTCGGACTGTGAGTACTCCGATGCAGACTCAGAAGACTCGAGGCAAGACGCGATTGATTCGGGCTCTTCTCTAACCCGTTTCGAAGCAGGACGATGAAGAAAGGTTCAATAGAGCTCCATTGAACGGAGAGATTGAAGGAGAATCTCCCGTCTCGATGCGACACGGCGTGCTCCCCAAGCACGAGGTATGGGAGCCATGTTCTACCCTCAGTCGCGAGCAGATAGAAAGCTCACGTGGTTATTCGTGAGAAGCCTGAGAGCCAGATATTTCCTTCGATGACTGATACGAGTTCGTACCACGAGAATAATCTAAAAAACTCACTGAAATAATTTCTGCCGCCTAAAATAGGGTTCGGCCACACTGTGCGCCGCCAGAGCAGCATCGCGCGCCACAAGTGCTCAGACTCTTCTCAATATATCCATCGCAAGGAAGCAGGAAACTGGGACGAGCAATACCTTGGAAGACTACCAGGTACACGCAGAACCCCAGAGTGAAAAAGGAAGAGGAACAGAACGCCACCCCAACCTCCAGAGCGAAACGTCGAACGCGTTAGGCCTAGTGATCGCCAGTGCAGTCGGGCGGAGCAGAGCCGCGCTGACCAACCTGTTGCTCCAGAGCGGAGACATCGAAACAAACCCCGGCCCCCATGCAACTCGTGCAACGATGAGATCCCCGCGAGGGCAAGTCACGCAGTGTGCGAAGCTTGTGTCAGACCGATACACGCAGCGTGTGGATACAGAATACCAGACAGGAGAGAACTCTTTTGCAAAGGCTGTTTCTGGATAGAAACATCCCGAACAATCGCACCGCTTATCAAAGTCCAATGCCCGTGCTCTGCAAAACCTACGTTGGCGAGAAGTGGCCAGGCATCGAGACCGAGCGGTTGTTACTCCGGATCAGCTGACTTCCAGAGCACTCAACGGAACCCGACACCGGCGACGAGAAACGAACCACAGACTCCTCGAACACCACGGAACTGCCAGAGGAAACTGAGCTACGCTGAAGCCGTTCGAAGAGAGATCAGAACCTCGAAAAGAGAACTGCCCCCCCGAAGACCACAGCAACTCAAAGGCAAACCGCCGAGGAAAACAGAGAGGAAAAGTGTCGGCACATCGAGATTCACGACGCTGAAAGTCACTCAAGTAGAAGTGCCTCAAAGAACTCGACAGAAAGCCCTCTTCATATCTCAGTTCGACGCAGCCACGACCGAACAAGAGATAGTGAACCACCTCAGAAAGATCATTCCGGCTACAACCCCAATCCAGGTAACGAAACTCAGAAGTGAGAACCAAGAATTCTACGCAAGTTTCCACGTAACAGCCCCGATCGAAGCATACAATGACATGAACCACGGATCGGCATGGCCGGTAGGCATCGAATTTCGCCCCTACCGCGGCCAGCTCCACGATTACAGGAAATTCAACGCTCAAGCAGCAGACGAAGGAGCCTCGCCAAAACGAAAGATACCGAGAAGCTCCCAAACACAAGGAATGGACCTCTGACTACCGGAACTCAGAATACGCAACTTGAACATCGAAGGCCTGAAAGGATTCCTGAGGAAAGAAAACCACTACAATTTCAGCCCATACGCAATAATCATGCTCACAGAAACCTTTCTAATGAATGAGCCCAAAGAACAACTTATAGCACAATACAGAAGCTTCTACTCGGGAGCCACTCGAACAGAAGGGAGACCCAGCGGAGGGCTGGCGATATTCACCTCCCCACTACTGCCAAACACTCAAGAAATTTACAAAAGCGAAAGCATACTCGGGGTCCAAGTAGGCCCCACGACGTTCCTAGTATCGCACTTCAGCCCCCATACACCAGTCGCCGAGATTGTGATCGAAATACAACGAGCCATGGTGGAAGCCAGAACACCAACAACCATTTTGTACGGAGACTTCAATTGCAGGATCGACTCAGAGGAAACCAGAGGTAGAGACCTGACCGAATCACTCACTTACCTCGAACTGTACCTACTCAACAAGCCGGACGAAATGACCTACATAGCACACAACGGTCGGAGCGCCATCGACCTCGTATTCGTCTCCGCAAACCTTGTCCCAAAGACTGAAATTGTAATAGACCCCACCGTCGAAAGGAAGCACCAGCGCATCCTCATATCCACGCGCCTCACCGACGAACATGGAGTTGCACCAGGGAGGAGACCCGAAAGAGCAATCAGACGAATCCACCCAGAATCCCTGGACAAACTCCTGCCCACTCTGGAGCAGAATGAAGACCACAACACCGACGAGTCGTATCAAGAACTGCTCAAAATCATCACCGAGAGCGCCCCGAGAGTGAAAGAGCGACCCAACATGAACAAACCGTGGTACGACTCAGAGTGCCGAGATCTCAAGAGAGAAACTCTGTCTCGGATCGGAAGAGACAACTACAGCAGCTTTAGAAGAAAATATAAGAACCTGCTCAAAGTGAAACGTAACAAATATGAGCTCGAGCAATTCGAACGGAAAATCGAGGCCAGCAGAACGAAACCCTGGATCGTCCTGCCCCAAAAGAAGGCATCATGCGTACCAAAAGTTGAGATGGAAACCTTCACGAAATACTACGGCCAGCTCTACGCAGCAACAGACACCGAACAGATCAACGGAGAAGACGACTCCAACGGAGACAGCGTAGATGAAGAGTGGTACAACGAGCAAATTACAAACGAAGAGGTCATCACAACCCTGAGAAGAACATCGAGAGGCAAAGCAGTGGGACCAGACCGAATAGCAGTGGAAATCCTCAAGGACAACGAGCTTATGATCCCCCTCGCCACAAGACTATTCAACCAAGCCTTCAACACAGGCCGTTTGCCACAACAGTGGCGCACCTCACTCGTGAAACCGCTATTCAAAGGCAAAGGATCCCCCACTGAAGCGAAGAACTACAGGTGCATCAGCCTAGCCTCCCACATGTACAAACTCTTCACAAGCATCCTGGCAAACCGAATAGTCACCCAATGTCTGCCCCAGATGTCGGACAACCAACACGGCTTCCTACCACACAGATCCTGCGAAGGAGCGCTGCAGACACTCATCGACTATATCGAAGGTCACAACGAGCCAACATACGCCGCGCTCATTGATTTCCGGGCAGCCTTCGATAATGTCTGCAGAAAGAAGCTCACCGAGAAACTAGTCAACGAGTTCGACCTCCAAGGAAAGGCCCTGAAAGCGATAAGATCGATCCTACAACCCAACTACTTGATCGTGGATAACGGAGCGGACCTCAGCCAGCCGATAGCCCAAAGAAAAGGGGTCCAACAAGGGGACTCGCTCTCGCCCCAACTATTTGTGATGTTCATGAACGACCTCCTCCGAAAACTAGAGAAGAGGAAAACCCTATCGATAATGTTTGCGGATGATCTCGTCATCGCAGGCCCAGACGCCGACGAATTGCAGGCCGCACTAACAGCTTTATCCTTCTGGTGCGAAGAAAACAAAATGACGGTCAACATCGAAAAATCCAAATATTGAAGTTCAGGAAGTCAGGAGCGACCGGAAAGAGGAAGCTCTACCTCCACAAGAAGCCGCTGGAGATTTTAAATAGCTTCAAATACCTCGGCCTCACAATGCAGCCCTCGCTAAGTTTCAGCTCCCACGTAGACCAACTGCTCACGAGAACGGCAGCGTCAACCACATGCCTCGGAGACCTCCGAAAAATCCCTCTGACACTAGCGCTCAAGATATTCGAAATCAAAATCACCCCCACCATCCGATACGGAATGTCGTGTGTCGCCCCGCGACTGACCGCAACCGCCATGGCAAAGCTAGACCGATGCAAAGCGCTATACCTCAAAGTAGTCCTCAGCCTGAGCCGAAATACCTCGAATACCTTCGCCCACCAACTGAATGAATGAATGAATAGCGCCCTTTATTGACTAGAAGGGGGCAGTGAAGACAATAATTGTAAATACAGGGGGAAACCCTCGGCGCGTAGCTTATCGGCCATTCTCCATGGAAACAGATTTTGGATACGTTTACTTCGGGCAACAGTTTTGGGTCTAATCGAGAACTTACTACGGAGTCTGTTTCCGGTAATGGTAAACATATCCTCTAGAAGGGAGGCACGGAAGAGTGTCCTGAGCATGCTATCATCGTTCTTATCGAGAAGGGTCTTGAGATCGGGAAGAGTGACATCATTCCGCTGTAAATTGCATCGATACCGTAGTCTGCGCAGGAAACGATTCTGCACCCGACCTAAAAGATCGATGTGCTGTCGTTGAGACGGGTTCCAAAGGGGCGAGCAGTAGAGGAACTTCGGCATGACTAGGGAATTGTACAACCCAAGATATAGTTCAGGTCTTTTGGTGATGATGCTTCGGAATATACAATTTATGAGCAGAAAAGCAGATTTGGCCACGTTGGATATGTGGTGCTTGAAATCAAGGGCCGTGTTAATTGCCACTCCCAGATCACGGGTTTCCTCGGAAATGGGTAACGGCACACCGTTAAGGAAGTAATCGGACCGGACTCGTCCCGACTGCAACACAACGGTTTTGTGCGGGGAGAGGGACATGTCATTCAGTTTGTCGACTCCATCAATAGCATTCTGTAGGACAGCGCAAGAGGTACGGTCCATGATTGGACACCAAACTTTGAGGTCATCGGCATATATTAAATATTTGACATCCTTGGGGAGGAAATCGGCTATATCTCTACATATAAAAGAGAGAACGCGAATGTATGTTTGTCCCCTATGCACGCCTAAACTACCCATAGTATCAGCATGAAATTTGGCGAGAATATCGACACTGATTCCGATTAGGTTTTAGGCAAGTCAAAACGCAATATGGCTCTTCCCACTTCCGGGAAATGCCAATTTTTCCCCGTTCCCTCACATCGTCGTTCGCGAAGCCCACCATTAGCTCACATCGTCGTTCGTCAATCCCATTGAGGTACGAACGAGGGCATCAATGAGTAGAGCGAAGTCGCTTGCTGAATATTGATTGCTATCGATTCAGGTTTTGTTAGCGTGGAGAAATCTGCAGCTTGAAGTCTTCGCCTTAAGGTATGTAGACCTACCGAACGGCCAAACTTCTGTGGGCTGATTTTATATGCAGTGATGAAGTGATGCCTCCTAAACGTTCGGCAATCGGTCGTGCGACCCGTCGAGCTCAGCAGAAACGGGCTAGGAGAGCTTTGGAGACGGTGTCTCAATATCATGCTCGATTAGAACAAAACCGAGTCCATATCGGTGAGGCCCGATCGATTGAGACCACCTCACAGCGTAAAACGAGGTTGTCTGCCAATCTATCTCGCGTTTCGCAAAGACGGGCCGAGGAGACTGATGAGCAACGTATGTCTCGAATGCTAGCTGATAGCGATCGTCATATTCAAAATCGTGACAGCGAATCCGATGATCAGAGACATGAGCGATTGCATCTTCGACGAGAGCGTAATAGGTTATCTTTGCAAAATCTTCATGCTGATTTGAGGTGCGTTGCATTTGAGTATTCTCCTGATTTCGATTACAGTCTTCATCCAAACGTAGTTATCGGAGCCATGGATAAAGTTTGTGTTCATTGTCGTGCGAAAAAATTTGAAGCTGAGCCCCCTGGAATGTGTTGTTCAGGCGGTCCAGTGAAATTGCCAGAATTATCTCCACCACTCGAACCATTGGCATCATGGCTCTTGGGCGAAACGATTCAAGCGAAACATTTCTTGGCGAACATACGGAGATACAACTCATGTTTTCAAATGACATCATTTGGGGCGACAGAAATATCTCACGGGAATTTCATGCCGACCTTCAAGGTTCAGGGGCAAATTTACCATCTCGCAGGATCCCTTCTCCCGCTTCCTGCGTGTGAACATAAATTTCTTCAGATATATTTTATGGGGAATTTAGAGGATCAAATCGGTCAGCGCTGTCGCATCGACACCCAAACTCACCGAGAAATAATTGCTGCTTTACAAACGTTGTTTGACCAGCATAATGCATTAGTGAGACTTTTCAGGACCGCTCTTGAACTTATGCCGACAGATGAATACGTGATTGGCATTAAAGCCGACAAAGTGCCTGTCGGCGAACACAGAGGTCGGTACAATGCACCTTCGATTGACGAGGTAGCTATTGTTATTGTGGGGGAACATTTTGAATCACGGGACATTGTATTACATAGGGAAAGTGGCGTTTTGAAACGTGTGAGTGAGACTCATCGATCATATGATGCTCTCCAGTATCCTATTATATTTTGGCAAGGAGAGGATGGTTATCATTTCAATATCCGTATGAGGGAGCCATTCTCAGACATTGAAACAGAAAAAAAAGTCAGCGCTATGAACTACTATTCCTATCGATTGATGATGAGGGACGATAGGGATAATCATATTTTGAGATGTCGACAGTTATTTCATCAATACGTTGTGGATATGTATGCGAAGATTGAGACAGAACGTCTCCTATATATTCGATTGAATCAGACCAAATTGCGAGCCGAACAATACATACATTTAAGAGATGCGATAAGCACGGATTCAAATATCAATCCCAACGATCTCGGCAACGTCGTAATTCTTCCCGCGACATTTACCGGGAGCCCGAGACATATGCATGAATATGCTCAGGATGCCCTGACATATGTTCGGTATCACGGTCGGCCGGATTTATTTATAACATTCACCTGTAACCCGACTTGGGAAGAAGTGAAAGTTCTTCTGAAACCGGGACAAACGTCGATGGATCGTCATGATGTTATCGCGAGGGTGTTTAAGCAGAAATTGAAAGCAATGATTGACATGGTTCATGGTTCATGGTTCATGGTTTTATTGATCCATATGTTCCCGTGATTCTATGAACCCACAACGCATAGGATAATACCTACAAAAGACGTCAAATTCGTAGAGGGGAAAGCTTCTGACGACGCGCAAACTCCCGTCAAAATGACGAAGAAAACGGCCACAACCGCGCAAAAAACCATGGTAACCGATGATGAAGAGGACATCATTGAAGAGCCGCCTGATGAGAGCGAGCTAAGCAACATGTCAGATATTGACTCAGAGGATGATCGAGCAAACAGCTCTCCCTCAATCTCCCCTCAGGAGCACATGACATTACGAAGACGCACTACTATAAAGAAACCAAAACGATATGAAATCGAACTAAATGAGTCTGAAATAAGGGAACCCAAAACATATAAAGAAGCAATGGCTTCTCCTCATGCCAAAGAATGGCAAATTGCAATGCAAGACGAGCTCGACTCTATAAAATCGCACGGAGTTTGGTCATTGGTAGACCCTCCAAAAGATAAAAAGCCTATCAGCTGTAGATGGGTATTCAAAGTAAAACCAACGCTGAAAACAAAATAGACCACTACAAAGCACGCCTCGTCGTTCGAGGATTCAATCAAGTAGAAGGCGTAGATTACCAAGAACTCTACAGCCCCGTCGCCAGATTTGACACACTGCGTGTCTTCTTGGCAATCAGTGCAGCAAAATGCATGCACATGAAACAAGGAGACATAAAAACCGCATTTCTTTACGGAAAATTAGATGAAACCGTCTACGTAACTCAAGCCCCAGGCTTTGAAGACGGCACGAATCGCGTGTGCCTCCTGCACAAAAGTCTCTATGGCCTAAAACAAGCGCCGAGATGCTTCAATAAGAAACTCGCAGAAGTCCTTAAGAGCCTTGGCCTGACACAAAGTCAAGCGGACCACTGCCTATTCATCAAA